ATCGGAATGCACATTGCTTGTTGAGATTCCACTTGCACTGCATTGTCCATTCAGTCCTTTTTATCACATTGCGGATCCTCGGTTATTATGTACATTGCCCAACTGGGCATGTAACAGTTGGTATCGGAACACCGCACGTGAATCAGGACAACCTGATCTGACACGTGTGCGGGGACTAGGTAGCTGATTAGTCTTGATTGATTGATTAGAGCACACTAGTTAGCCCCCAAAATCACGATTTTGACCTCACTGACGAAAATCGAATTTTTTTCTTTTCTTGGATTTCGTTTTCTCGCTATTTCTGTTGTGGAAAATCGCTATACCGCAACATCTGAAAATTCCGTTTTCGTTTTTTCTGAAAATCCGAAATTTCGTTGCTGGAAATCCGGAATACCTTTTTCTCGAAAATTTCGATCTCCTTTTGCAATTTCCAGTTATTTGGAAATTTGGAATATTCTCCGAAATTCGTTTTTCTGAAAACGGTACGGGAAATCCCTCTTGCAGTACCATTTTCCAAACTGCGAATACTCTCATCTGAGTAAGTTCGAATACTTGTTATTTCTTTTCAGAATTGTTTTTTTTTCGCAGTTCTATGATTTTCACTACCTGATAATCATTTGCAGTCTGAAGTCCGAAATTTTTTTCTGATTGATAATTTCGCACTTCAAGGGAGGTTGGGAGACCTACTGAACTTGCAAAACTCGGGATTTTTATTTTCTCGAAATTTTTTTTTGCAAAGTTCAAACTTCTCTTCTATCGATTAGTGGCTCCTTATCTGGGCGATTTTTCCCACCCACCCCTCCCCACCTATGTTATTGCCCCCTCTGATCTTACCTTCTCTATCTGTCTCCGGGTACCCCTACTGCGGCATTAGTAAGTGACACATCAGCAACTGAGCAAGAGCCACATCAGCAGTGACACGTCAGCAGCCGACCAGTGCCACATCAGAAGGCCATGCCAGTGCCACGCCAGCGCGCCATGTCAGCAGGACACAGCAGCCGAACAGTGCCACGTCAGCAGCAGGGAGTGCCACGACAGCAGTCCTTCGGCCTGATCAATGCTCATGCGCTTACAAACAGCCGACATGGATCAGAAGTCCGGGGAAACGGACGAGGCCTATCAGGCCCTCCCGCAGGGCTGCCCGTGCCCGGACCAACCGCCATCCCGACCAGAAGTCGAGAGTGGGGCTGGGCCGAGGTAACAACCTTCGGAGGCGAGACGGGATGAAGGGGGAGCAACGCCACAAGGCCCCAGACCCTGCCCACTCCCCCCACCCTCGACCTACACCACGCGCCTCTCTGCGCCGGTCCAGCCGCCCGAACAGAGATCAACATTGGCCGAAAGCGGCCATGGTCATGGCGGCAATGCCAAGCGACCAATCCAGTGAGGCCGTGTCTGCCAATGAAGGGGACATGTCTGCCAATGAAGGGGACAGACTCGCAGCCGCCCGGGATGGTGGCCGCCTCGGCAAAGGCCGAGGACGCGGCAAGATGAAGACAAACACCACATTTATCCCCGGGCCCGGAGCAGCAGCTTCAGCCCCATGGACCCACTACGGCCAATCGAGAAATTGAGCACCGCCAGGAGTGACTCGACGACACTCTCGACGTCTTCGGAACCGGTCGCTTCGCGGGTGACCGTCCTTCGTTCCGAGGCACATGCGGAAGTCGATAGTCCTCCTCTTTTATGAGGACTATGCTGCCCGGCTCGTTCCTACGCTGGGTTCTCATGCTCAAGGACAAGACGTGTGTGCGGCCTCTTCTCCGTCCGGCAGCAGTGACTTATCGTCTTCAAGTGGTTCTTCACAGGATTCGGCGCGCGATTTCAACATAGAGGAATTGGACCCGCTCACGTCTGAGGATTTCGCATGGCTTCCTCTCCCGACCACGGGCTGCTTGCCGGGACCGCAATGCGCAGCACTATGCGCTCATCTTCACACCTACTTATCCTTCTATGCACCACCAACTTCGCCGACGGATGACGAAATCGCGGTGGGGCACATCCTTGTGTATGTTACCAAGGTGGCCCGCAAGTTTCGCAATCAGCGATACGACGACAACAACGCACCGCTCCTTTATGTCCGCATCCAAGTTGGGCAAGCGTCCTGCAACGCTTTGCTGGATAGCGGAGCGACTTGCAATTTCATGGGCCAAGCCTTTATGCAAAGGGCTGGCCTTGGCGCACAAGTTCAGAGGAAGGCAAACCCGACGGCGATCAAGTTGGCGGACGAAAGTACGCAACAACTTATCGACCGTTACTTCGAGGCCGCACCGGGGTATTGCCGGATCGGACGATCTCTCACGAGACCATTCTTGAGGCCGGTGTCGTGCCGCCGAAAGGCTGCATTTACCGCAGCTACGACAACAGACCGAATACTTGGTACACTTTGCGTACTAATGCAAGGCAAGCCGGTRTCTTCGGCTCCACGTCGCACCCGCGACCAGGTTCCACCTTCAGATCATCAGCTTCGCCCTCGACCCGGCTTGACTTCATAAGCAGGGGGGGGTGTTACATGCTGCGCCTGCAACAGGCTGCACGGGCCACTTTCAGGCCCGTGTCATTTTCAGCCTGAAAGCCTGAAAACGAGGGCCTACAGACCCCGTGTTGTTTTCAGGCCAAAAGCCTGAAAACAAGGGCCTACAAGCCCCGTGTCGTTTCAGCCTGAAAGCCTGAAAACGAGGGCCTACAGGCCCTGTGTCGTTTCAGGCTAAATCAGGGCCTTTCCGGCCCTGAGTATTTTCAGCCTGAATCTGAGGGCCATTTTCAGGCCCTCATCAGTTCGACCTGCCCTGAAACTCAGGCAC